CCACTTTGTAAGATAAGTCGAAATTTGATTCATCTCTTTATAAAATATGGATGGTTGATGACGTGTCTAAATATAAAAAAACATCTAATGGTTTTTTTTTTCTTTTTTTTCTTCTTTAAATTGGTAAGGAGAATCTTGACCAAACCTCAATCCTCATAATTTTTTGATTCAGTATTTACGGGCCGCAATATTATAGCTGCTATGGGTACTAATGAAGTAATGGAAAGGCAAGGCTTGAGGAGAAAGGTTTTGATGAATATGCGTTTTCATTACAATCTTCAAGATGAAATCAACAATTGTCATTATTAAAGATGTTATTTGATACATTCAAAGTTACTCTGTACTTTTTGATAACTGGCAATTACAAGTTCTGCATTTCCCATTGATTATTCATTGCAAACTAATTTTAAAAAAAAAAATCAATTAACAAGCAAGATTGTAGCATCAACACTAATCAAACTTGAATTGATGAGTCACAACCTAAAGAAAGGATAGGAGAAAAGGCATATATAGTAATCACCATGAGAAAGGGGAAGATGAGATAATATTCTACATGAAGGCATTATTAGAGTTTGACACATACCAAAATTCGTTATGGAAGCCATTGATTTAGGTAAAGATTTTCCAAGACCAAAAGGTTGAAATTCGCAATATATTATTAATAAATAGAACGATTTCCCAAGAAATTATTAAAATCAAAATTAATTCCTACTTTACATCGTTTTAAAAACTTATTCCCTGAATAGTGTTCATGTAGGATTGGGTATTAGTTTTTTTTTTTTTTTTTTTTTTTTTTTTTTGGGTTCTGTGCAGAACCGCAATTGATGATAGCGGTTTACATTTACGTGATAAATTACAATGATGATAAAAATTAAAAATTGGGCTCTACAAAAATAAAAGAAGAAAACACATTTTGTTTGTACCATGTCTCCCCACTCCCCTGTCTTCCCATTTTCTCTTTCTTCAACTTTCACTCTTGTTTTCTTCTGTTAAAACCTCTTATTTCTTCTTAGATCTTCTCTCTTCTATTCTTCTTTCTCTTTTTAAAACCCAATTTGTAATTGTAATTTTGTTTTGATTTTCTGGGTAATTTCATACAAGTATGAATTTAGGGGAGTATCTCAACATATATATCTAAGCATTCAACCTCAAGAACTTCAATTCCCATGTATTTTTTTTTTTACTTTCTGTTTTAATTTCTTTGCAATTTTTTGGGAGGCCTTTAAAAAAAACTTGCAGATGATACATGTAAAATAGTGAAATGATTTTAGTGGGACGGTTAAAAAACTTGCAGAAAGAACCATAAATAGCAATACTGGTTCTTCAAATACAACCGCTACCAACGATTGCGGTTGTAATTGTAAAACCGCGATCACCAATTACGGTTCTACACTGAACAAAAAAAAAAAAAAAAAAAAAAAAAAAAAAAAAGCTAATACCTGATCCTACGTGGACAAGGGAATAAGTTTTTAAAACAACGCAAAGTGGTAATTAATTTTGATTTAAATCTAGGAAAATCGTTCTTAATAAATACTCATAAGATAATAATGTTATTTAAAATTTCAAAGGTGATTTGTCATTGATAACTTTTGATTGACAACGCTTCAAATGAAGCATTTTTATGCACTTCATTTTTTTTATTGTTTTTTAGAATTGTCAAGATTATCTTTCTTTGTAAATTAGATAAATCTCATACATCAGCACAGATTCATTTTAGTACATTTCAAAATTACATGAATCGTGATTTGTTCTAATGCGACCCTAAATGTAGACATAAAATACTTTTACTATGGATAATTTTAAGGATTTTTGTTCTTTCCTATTTTGTAAATTAATTAAGGCCGGTAATCAAATTTCTAAGCCAGCAAAAACTCGCATTTCAATGCATTATAATTAAACATTACTCCGTAGTAAACAAGATTATGGTCCCCAACCAAACATTTGTTTCATACGTTGTCTTGTCAGTGATAACGCTTAGATTAATCAAGCATATCATTGCTCAGAGTCAACTAAACAACATTTTTTTTTTCCCTTGTATTAGGTGAAGTTACCAAATGGCACATACCAACTTCCTCGTTTGGCAAGTAATTAATGGACCACATATATCAATTGTAGAAAGAAAAAAAAGAAGTAATAAGACATATATATTAATAGAGCTAATTAATAAAAGTGTAGTTTAGACATTTACACACACATAGTAGACGCTTAAACTACTCTAAACAAAGAAATAACATATCGTTGTACTGGATGGTGTATAACAAGTTGTTACACACCGGCCAGTAATCATACACATATAGTCATGTATCATTAATTCATAACTATAGTGTGATGACAACATTTTCATGACACCTTTAGGCCTAAGTAGATACAAGATCTAGTACATTTATTAGGATCTAGTACTCTCTCAAAAAACTTTGATTATCTTACAAAGGATTTGCAGCATAAACACTTGTATCAAAAACCTCGTACTTTATATTATAATCACATGCTACTGATTCTAGTATCTGGATTTGTTGATCCTACGCTAGCAATATGATACTGTGCCGCATACTTGTACTTAGGAACTTCTCCTTCTATTACCGGTGGCTCGTTAAGGAATGCCCAATTGCTTCTTGTCCACCTACATACACACGTACAGTTGCAATTTAGATTACATTATTAACGTGATTATTAATATCTATTTTTACGAAGTACATTGGGACCATGCACATAATTTAGAGTTGATCAACATTGACCGGCCCGAAAATACGGACAGGTTTGAGAAAGCCTAAAACCCAAACCCGACCCAAAAAACCCTAAAAGTCTGCTTTGGCCCGACGTACCGCTACTTTTTTGCGGGTTTGGACCCGAAATATGATATTAAGGCCCAGTCCGGCCCGGATTTTTAATCACCTCCAATATAACTAAATAAACTTACCAGCAATTAAGATGTTCAAGATCGGCATCAGATCCCTTGCCTACAATGATTTTACCACTCTTTCTATCTATCATTGGCAACGAAGTCGATCTTTTAAGCTCATTTGGAGCAGATTCTTCATTAATTATATCCTGCAATTGTTGCCCATAGTATTAATAAAATGGGTAAAATCTCAAAATCAATGAAATAATTAACAAGATTTACAACCAATTAAGAAACTTATTAATTAGTATCAAAGATGAGTCATAATTCATACCTGAACTCTAGGAGAAACAGCTTTAAGATGTTCTTCCTCTGTTTTCTTCTTGAGTTTCCAGTAATCTTCAATCCCCTCTTTGGTTAGTGACTTGTTTCTCATCAATTTTACTGATTATCACCAAAAATTTATAGTTAGTCAACATTACACTATACCACGTAAACAAGTATCGTCGCAAATAATTAAGTTTATAATCGTGATATGTTTAACGAGCACAACTTATTTTAAATACTTCCCATAACTTTTTACAGTGGATATCACATATCACAACTTATTTTAAATGCTTCCCCATAACTTTTTACAGTGGATATCAGGTATTCTAAGGATCTGTCCACGGGAACAACAATTTATCAAACGATTTCTGGATTGTTTGTTACGTTAAATTTACATGTTATAATTATAAACTTCGAATTTCCGTACACAAATGAGGAAAACATGAGACCAAGAACTACATACCATATTTTTGATCTTGAACCGGGGAATCCCATCCAGACATTAAGGAACCCATGACTTGATATTTTTTGTGCTTCAACTTTTGTTTTTGATTTTGTTTCTTCACTATTAATTTTTTTGTTGTTGTAATGCACTCTATTTATTTATTTGTAACAAGATTTTTGGATTTTAAAGTAAGATAGATTCAAAGGTAGTGATGTGGTAGGCCCCACCATAATATATGATTCTTATCTACGTTGTTATTTTAATGATACATCCTTTGATTTTTAGGTGATGTATTTGGAGCTATCTTTATCAACTTTGATTAAAAATGGACAAGATATTTTTAGGAATGTACTAGATTATTTATTAAAAATAGAAAGTTAAAGTTTGCATAAACTATGGACTTTATTGTACATATGATAATGTTTATCTAAAAAACAATGGATTTAAGTGTTAAACCGCTTCAATCTAGATTCATATGTACATTACATATGGCGTATAAGCTGTCAAAACTATGGACTTTATTGCTAGTTGACTCCGATTATTGGATTTTATAGTTTCTCTCAATTATCCAACTTAATTTTGGATGATATATAGATGTGTTGATGATCTTACAAATCCAAATTTGATTCCTTGAATAAATGACGTGTATATAATACTTATACACCAAGACATTTATTCTATCATTCACATGCATGTATTGTTGTTGTGTGTCATGCTGGGGCTGGCAATCCCAGATCCAATTCGATAACCCGACCCGAAGTTACTGAGAGAAACCCGATCCGAACTTGAAAAATCCGAATTCAACCCGATTTGACCTAAATTTTAAATTTTGTTATAATATTCAGTTTTACACTATTTTTGATAGTTTCTAAGCACAATCCAAAATCGACCCGAAATCTTACCTGAACTTGACCTGCTAACCCGAATTACCACCCCTAGTCATACATATATCGATTTAGCCGCTATAATTTATGTTGTACCTTGTACCTTTTTCGAGTTTTCATATGATGTACGGAGTATACAAAGTCTAACAAAGTTTGTATCTTTTATACCCGTGTATAATGATGAATTATCAATCGGTGGTGGTGCAAAAACAATATAATATACGAAGTAATAGTTTTCATCCCACGTAATGTATGAGATTTTTTTCTCTTTTTTCCAGTTCAATACCCGAGTTACTTCAAGCTTATCACAGCTCTTAAATTACATATGATGTCATAAGTTGTGGATGAATACGACGGTAATGGTGGACGGACTAGGTTGCCAAGTCAAATATTGCTTGTATTGGCATATTGCAATTAAAAAAAAGTTTTGATTGCCATTAACATAAGATTTTTTATCGTAGATTTTAATGGTTGAATATATATAATCATTAATTCATAATGGACAACATTACTACAACTAAGAAACAAGTACAAATACAAAAAAGAGGTGAATAAAAACTAAAAGAAATTCCATTATCAATAATGTTGGTAATTTTCCAAATTATACATACATTGCCTACATAAATTTGAATAAAATGGTTAAAATTAGGCCCTAACCCAAGTTTTTCCATCCATCAAACTCATAGTCAAATAAGGTGAGGCTTGATGATTAGAAAGGCTAAGTGACCACTCAACTCGTCTTGTTCTTCTAGCCCCTGGTCCATAGCATTTGTATTCACCGTAGAATGCAGTCCTACATCAACAACAACCAAATTAGACCAATTATTAACCATTATAATTGGATGGTCTTATTATAATTATTAACCAATGAAAAAGGAAGGACAACTAAAAAATTGACTAATAATCACACATTTAAATGGGACTCTGTTTATAGAGTTTCTCCTGGCCAAATGATCAGTTTTTTTCGGCATAAAAATGATTAAAAATATATATATATATATATATAAAATTATGTACTCCGTAACATGTTACTATCGAAAATTTGAAAGTTATATGATTATTTAGTGAGTGTTAACCAATTTAATTGACTGATTGACATCTATACTTTTTATATACTTGTATACAGTTAGTTTAAAAAACCTGTTCACTAATCACTACAGAGTATTCCATTTGAGGATGTTGAATTCACGAAATTCTCATGAGATAGGATATTGTTTAAGAATCTCGCATGCCATTGAAAAAACACGTGAAATTGACATCCGCTAGAAGAAAAAAATGTAATATATAATACCTGTGGATAGATGGTTTGCCCCAATCATCCCATCCTTGAGGTAGAACCGCACTAGACATGTAAGTTTGTGAGAAAACCACTCTAGCATAAGGACCCCAAGGTCTGCCTAATGTACAACTTTTGACACCCGTAATTTTGCATCCCACAAAATAAAATCCCGTTTTTTCTTCTTCTGATGATCTTCTTTGGGCTGTTATTGCCCCATTTTCTTGTGAGATTGAATGCAAATGACATTGCTGCACAATTTACATACACTAATTAATTTCGATTTAGCGAAAAAACTAGATACAATTTTCATTTATGTTTGTTAATAAGTAAATTTAGTGAGTAATTATGCATAGATACCTTGAAAAGAGAAGCTGCATTTCCAAAGATGAAGTCAGTGCCTCCTTCAATGAAACAATTGTAATAGAAATGTCTCCCACTCTCATCTAGAAGTGTATCTTGGTATGATGTAATTTTACATGCAAAAAACACCGCCTTTTCACTTGTTACCCTCAATGCTACTGCTTTCTTTGTCATACCATATGTATTCTGCACAAAATTGATATAATAATTATCAAACTAGTGATGCGACAATTAAATACCCCTAAAAACTAAATCTCAGCTGCTAAGGATGAACTCAAAATCTGAACCCCTATTATAATTATTTACCTGAATAGTGAGGTAACGACCCGTAAAATCACTAGCAAAGACACTAACAGTAGGAGATTTGAATATATCTCCACCATCATTCCAAGTGATAACCGTAGTATTTGCATTTCTACCACTTAATGTTATAAAGGGTTTATCTTCAGGTACAACAATCTTCTCCTTGTAAATTCCAGGCTCCACCCTAATAAAAATATGTTGTACATTGTTAGACGGGACCGCGTCAATTGCATCTTGTATCTTCACGTAGCTACCCTTCTTCCCCGATTGATCGACCGTGATAATTTTACTCCATTTCCCTTGAGCATTACAAGTTATCGCCATTTCCAAACAAAATCCGATCACAAACAAGAAAATCAACAAACACCCACGAACTTCCATGGTACTACGTACAAATAAAATAAAAAAAAGCGTTAAAATAAACGTTACACCTAGAAGATTAATATTATATGATCAATTATATGGAATATATAACAAATTTGGACTTAGAAAGAAGTGATGAACAAAGGAATCGAGATGGGTAGTGTATAAATAGAAGGTGATGGTTAGTTATAAAATTATAATATAAGGTTTTTATAAAGATTGAATTACAAGATTTGCCGTTTTGTTGCGGTTGACAAGGAAAAAAAGTTAGCAAAAAGAGCATTTAAAAACAAGTTTTCGGCGGGTAAACATAATGAAGAAGAAAATTAAAAATGAGTTTAAGGAGGCAACAGTTGCTGAGAATAGAGGAGTCGTCAGGAGGTCAGCGTGATTAGTACACACGTTACCCACGTTTTATGAAAAACTAGATTTATTTGGTTAATTTGCAACAACTGTCTTTTTTTTTTTTTTTTTTAAAAAAAACTCTTTGTTATTATGGCGTATAACTTATATTGAGGAACTCGCATAATAATTGTTTCATTTCCTTCCGCATAATATTATTTTATGATGGCTTATTGACTTGTTTCACGAGGAATTGTACTGATAGATATATCTAGTGTATCGTTGGATGATTGATTTTTTTTTTTTATTATTTTTTTTTATTTTTTTATTTTTACGGTAAGAAGAAGGGCCCTATCGGGTCGGAACCTCTTATAGATTCAACCCGACCCGGGTTAGTGGGTTAGATAATTTGAAAGTGGGGGGTGGGGGGGAAGGGTAAGGGAATCCCCACCCCAAATTGTCTCTAGTGGAGTTTGATCAAACCTTAATACTAGACCAAGCTTTGCTTGGTACCGTTAGATGATTGATTGGCGTACGTGTGGAACAACTAACAATGATATCACCATACCACCGCTAATGTGGTGCAAGTCATGCAACTATTGTTATTTCGAATATATTTATAAGAAATTTTAAGAGCTAGTATATTGTTACATCATATATTCATATGAAATACTGAATATAACAAAACTTTGAGCTTAATTAGTGAATGTCATATACTCCATCCATAAGTTATTTTAGTATTAATTTTCATCTAATTATTACATTTTCATATAATAGTATAATACGCCAATTAATTATTTATCAATTAAAAATATGATATATGTTATTTGCATGTCAATTCTAAACACTAATATTGTTTTAAAGTGGAGAGAGTATTACAAAACAAGGTGATTAAGCTAAGGGAGTTATTCAATTTGACTTAATTTACGATATTAAAAAAAAAAAAAGAAAAAAAAAGGAGGTTGACTTCATTTTGAATCTTGATTTGAGCTACAATTCAACAAAACAATCTGTCAAATTAGGTAATATTACACATTGATATTTATGCAAGGAATGGGCTGGTGGGACGTTTGACTTCTTGAAAGGGCAAGAAATACATATCTCGTATTAAAAGAAAAAAACATTGATTCATCCTCATTAATGAGATGTTCTAAATTAGGTTTTAAGCAATTAATAGACTTTGTAGTTCATAGTTCCATAAATAATTGGATAAGACAACATTAATCCATTACTCTTGTAATTTTTAAGTGATAACGCCGAAGAAGTGGAATTTGGTGGATTTTTGATGGCTTTTTGGTCACTCTAACAATTATTTGACGTCTTTTGGGGAGGAATATGTCAAGATTTTGGTCTATTAATATACTTTGTACTTAGTTTAATTTGTAGCGTAATGTTGCCAAATAGTTAAGACATTCAGTGCATTGTTCTTCAAATGTGATGTTTTGACCCTTTTATGCCGTTGAAAATTAGCAATGGGTTCGTGCATCATCTCTTGGTTGTTTTTCATTTTGTTTTAAAATTTTGGTATGGTGTGCTGCGTGATTTGCAACATTGCAAATGGGTTACCTTTATTGTATGGAGTAATGAATTAATGACATGTATTGTGCGGATGTTAATTTAATTGGTAAAGTTTTAGGATGATGTCAAAGATATGAGATAATTTTTCTAATTGATATTAAAAAATTAAAAAAAAAAAGGAGCACAAGCTCAAAAATGAAATCCCCATCACACTAACTAAAGAACGTGAAACAACAAATTACTACAAAACAAGCAAATTTACTATACATAGTTTTAAACAACCCAAAAAATGATTTCTAACTCAAGAAAAAAGGGTCTATTAAGCATTAAATTGTGCCTTACGTGATAAAATAACCTCCTAAGAATTTCAAGATCTAACCATACACCTTTTGAGACGCTTATTTACATTAGATGTCCTCCCACCTTTAATTTGAACTTCATCTATAATTTACTTCCAAATCATAGAACTTCATCTATGATATGAGTATATGACGCATACAAAACACAACTTCTACATCAACATTCAACCCAACAAATGGGCTACCCTATTCTTGAATACAACAAATACAAAAATATTTTCTTCTTCAACTTGCTCTTGAATTTAACATGATATCAAAGTCAGATCGACAATTGAGACTTTTAATGGCACAAGTACACTAGGCCAACTTATCCGTGATCAGGGGAAGTGAACAAATATGTTTGACCCCCATGAAATATCACATGTGATGGAATTATAAGGGACCTTACATGTGAGGGGGAGTGTTGGAGTGTTGAGGTATAGCCTTCCCAAACAACACTTGTAATGTCCTACTTTGATAAAAGAAGAGGTTGTTAAACACTTTATAAGACTTAGGAGCTACTCCTTTTATTGACATGTGATTTTGGGATAAAACCCCCTTAGACTCATCTTTAGCACATGACCCACTTCAGCTATTAAGGATGTGGAATTTTTTGAGATAAAATCGATTTCATCTGTTCCATAATCTTTAGTGGCTCATGGTTAAAAGTAATTATCTGTTCCATAATCTTTAGTGGCTCATGGTTAAAAGTAATTAAGTAAAAATGAGCTAAGTTAGAATAGTACTACCTCCGTTTTTTTTAGTTGACACGTTTTTACTTTAGCACTATTCACTCACTCCCTCTTGACTGTGTTTAATGCTTTATACGTAAAGAAAAATATCGTCATGTGAGATCTTGTTAGATTCGTCACGATATATAATTTCAAAATATCAACTTTTTATAATTTTTGTTTATCGGTAATTAAAGATATAAACAGTTGAAGTTATGCATTGACAAACGTGACTAAAGAAACGCGTCAACTAAAAAGAAATGGAGGAAGTATTAGACTGCTTACGAAAGAATGAGAACCCACACTTTTCAATCGTTACGATGTGTGATAATTAACTCACAATTTTGTTTATTGTTAAGAACACATATATGATACTCAAGGCCTTGCGCTGTGGATATGCTTAGATGTAGCATGAATAAGCACAAAAAAGAAAAATACATAAAGTAACAAAATTGCATGGTATTTATCTTGCTTTGACTTGCCCCTTGAATTAATCCAATTTAATTAAGTACATCCTTATTAATAATTATTGGCTTAGTGACAACAACCGAGGGCCAGACATGTATGATGTATGCATTTGAGTACGTATATGACAGCCTTGACAGATTGCATTTTTCGAAAACCTTCTTTTCTCTTTCCATTTGTATTTATAATTTGTAATTTACAATGTCCCTGTGACTCATTTGGACCCAACAAAAAAACTCTTGTACTTAGCAATACAATATAAAATATAATCATCGTTAAAGATATACCTTTAGATTAGATTTGAACCAATTTGAGTCGTACGTATCCTAGCTTTAATTTAAACACAATAATTGCTCTTGAACAAAAGAGCTAGAAGTGTTACTTATTAAAATTAAATAACTTGAGCTTTGCACGCAGAGTTCCTTTTAGAATAATGCACTTCAATTAATTGATAAATTAACTAAAAATAATCAATTCAACATAGATTTATCATTTACTATATGTACAATCTGACAAAAGAATTAAGAATAAATAAAGAATCATATGTACAATAATCAAGTAGCAATTCTACAACTTAAATTTAATTAGTCTTTGAATAATTATGCTTTGATCTTCAATTTAGCTCTAATCATGGTCTTAGACAAAATTGTATGAGCTTCTTGATTTGTGAGGCTTTGCGACCACTCAACTCTTTTCGATCTGTTGGCTCCTTGTCCATAACATTTGCTTTCACCATAGTACACCGAACTGTTTAAATGGACAAAAAGAAACACATTAACATAATGTATCGTATTATGAAACATAAGGAGTAATTGATATTTGATATACTAACAAAAATATAATACGCACCTATGTGTGGAGGGTTTTCCCCAATCGTCCCATCCTTGAGAATTTACCTCACTTGACATGTAACTGTTTACGAAAACAACCCTAGAATAAGGTCCCCATGGCCTTCCCAATGTGTAACTTTTTATGCCAGTAACTCGACAATCCACGAAATAAAATCCCGTGTCTTCTTCAGGTTTTGACCTTCTTTGTGCTGTTATTGCCCCATTTTCTTTTGAAATGGAATGTATATGACATTTCTACAACATTCCAAAATCAAATTAAATTAGTTGTGGTACGACAATGAAGATAAATTATCTAATCATCATATGAACGCGATTTTATAGTATAATGTTACATACTTGGAATAGAGAAGCTGCATTGCCACAAATGAAATCAGTTCCTCCTTCAATATAGCAATTGCTATAGAAGTGACTCCCTCCCTCATCCAAAAGTGTGTCTTGATATGATGTTATTCTACATGCATAAAACTCTGCCCTTTCGCTCGAAACCCTCAAGGCAACTGCTTTCGCCCCCGGCCCATATGTATTCTGCAAGAAATAATCAATGTGATACTCTGTACCTAAATAATATATAGTACACGTGACTATTAATATAGGACATATGTTTCTAACAAAATATATTTGTACATACCTCGATGGTAAGGTATCGAGCCATAAAATCAGAAGCAAAGACGGAGAGAGTAGGAGACGTGTATATATCACCACTATCATCCCATGTAATAGTAGTATTTAAAACATCTCTACCACTAAGTATTATAAAGGGTTTATCTTCGGGTACGGTAACTTTTTCCTTGTACGTTCCGGGCATAACTAGGATTAGTGTAACGTCTACATTGTTAGAAGGAACCGCATCAATTGCGTCTTGTATTGTTTTGAACTTACCTCCGCCTGATTGATCTACGGTTAGTAGTCGTTTCCAAGTTAATTTCTCGGACAATAATCGAGCATTAGAGTTGCTAATGAAGCAACATAATGTAAACACAAAGAAGATGATCTTAGGAAAATAAGAGCTTTGAGTTGCCATTATTAGTGGGTATATAATTGTGTTTTGTGTTTTTGTGATCAAAAGATATGATTAGGAAGTAATTGTAATAAGATTTGGTAATTTGATTAGTGTATATATAGAGAGCAACATGACGTGATTAAGTAAATAAGACAATGATTGGGGGATGTAACGGCTGATATCTTGCAATTTACATTTAAAACATTCTATAAAAGATGACCATTGTAATAACATAATTACGTTATCATTTGCATGTTGTTTAAAGTTTTCGGCGCGTAGTTGAAAAGTTCGTGATTCTTTCCCCTTTGTGATTGGGTTTGGGAGAAGATAAGGTTAGTCAACATTGTATACCAACTAGCTACTAATTTTAATATGCTAGTCGAAGATTAAATATAAGCATTAATAATATTATCTAATGTAATTATTTTAATACATATATTATAACAAAATCACACGTTAGTAACTAACTATGCCTATAATTTTACTTTTATTTCCTTGTTCGTGTGCTTGTAGTTTACACCTTAGCTTGTGATGAGCACATGGCTAAAATATGGTCTTGGTTGTAAGGTGAAATTCTCCTAGTTATTGTTTCTAACTCGTGTCAATTCATAGTATACGTTTTCAAAAATTTTGGGTGACATCTGTGTGATTGTATGATGATAAGATAATTAAATAATGAGGTCAATCTTTCTTCAAAAAAAAAATAAAAGATAAAAAATAATAAGGTCATTCATAAATTAGCTACTGCGTATGTATATTTTGTGTTGATGAAGCAAATAAATCCTTTATTCAATGTATGTAAGCTAGCTTCATTGCTTTGCAACAACATAATATTATCAACTTTGGTGTTCTGATTTTTATTTTTTTTTAAAATAAAAATTGAACGGACTAATATAATTATACGAAGTACATGAAAAGGTACACCGTAGCAACTAACAAGGGTGCTCTCGATAATTCATTAGCTTATTATTTCATCTACTTCCCCCGTTCCATATATATGCATTTATTTCTTTTCAAAAAAATATATCTATGCATTTATTATATTATTGTTTATACAGTTTAAGCTTATTTAATACTTCGTAGTTAATTAGACGTTAGAAAGAACATTATCAGAAAATGATTTTAGCACACTATTATTGAATTTTGGCACACCCCTATATGAGAGAGCATAAAAAACTGTGCTCTCACATAAAAGGTGTGCCAAAATCAATTTTGGTGTGCCAAAATTATTTCCCAACATTATCATCTGCAATCTTATAAGATTTGATAATGTAGAAATTTATCTTCTAAATTATTTTATTTCTCCTTAGACCGTATTAACCTGGCGTTTTGAGTGTTGACCATCTAATGATCAAAAGTATGCATTGCATATATTAAGTTGCTTAATGAACATATAGTCATGTGAAAAGTATATCATGATATACATATGTATAGCAGCTTAAGTCTCGTGCAATGCACGGTTTAACCAAATTTTATAAAGATTTACAATAACTTGTACGTAGTTCAAATTTTTTTTACAAATTTATTCTTTTATAAAAAGTACTATAAAATAAAGTCATTCATAAAAAATAACGAATTATTCATTTAATGAAAAAGAAAAATTTGTCAAAAAGGTCTTTTTAATTAGGTCACTTTATGGTAAAAATCCTTTTATACAATAGGTGTCACTAAAGGTCCTTTTATTACACTTAGGTTGTGGCGAGAGTCCTTTAACCAGATTTCGACTATTGACTTTTTTTCCGGCCAAAAAAAGTCACGTGACTTGCACGTGAGCACTTAAAATCGTTTTTTCCCCCTTTTCTATTTATATTTTTTTACTTATTGAAGGAAGTCCCGTAAATCCAGTTCAATTATCAAAGTAATGTGAATTGGGCCAAAGTATGTAAAGTAATTGTAAACTCTTTAACAGCATAATAATATATGAAATGGAGAAAATAATTATAACTAATTATCTGTTATAACAACTACTAGATGGAAAATTGTGTTGAAAGATCTCCATTCAATATTGTGATAATTTGTTTAAAATAATAAGTTTATTTCTTTATTTATTTTGAGAAAATTAGCCACTTTTTGGTGGTGAAATATAGCCTTGTTTATTAAATGAACCGCATTGAGCTATGATCTTAGTTATAAGTCTTATAACTTGAACTTGGGTTATGAGTCTTATGACTGATCATATTTCACTTTTGGTAGCCAAATTCAAGCATTTTTGGTATTATATATCCTTCCTCTTCAATGGTACAAAGTATATTAATTAGTATGAAACTATGAATGTATGATCAATTGATGCCAAGTTTGGCTCATTGGCTGGCTATGATTGAAGGATTGTTTTTAAGTTTTGCTAATTGCCCCCAATTTTTTTTTTAAAAGAAAATGTTAAGATCACCACAATTTAAAAAAGGAAAACAAATATGAGCCTTAGATTTTCTTAGCAATACGTGAATGATTTCCTACGAAATGTGAAGGAAAAAAATAGTTTTCTAAATTAATAAAGTCATATTTAGAAATATAGGATCTATATAAACTTAAGTTATGATTTGTTATATTCATCCCAAAAACAAAAGAAAACATAAAGCAGAGAGAGAAGCTTTAAGATAATTTTTTAGAGAAAATTCTCGGGTGTGATTGGGGTGCATATGGTTGTGAGTTATAACAAGTGTTATGAACACTTGTGTATTATTTATCTTTTTCAATAAATTTTGCAGCATAATTAGAGATACAAATATTTGTTCATTTATTTGTATTATTCATATATATTTTTTATTCCCACTAATCTGATTCTAAAGGAAATTTGCATAGTATTTCCTAACAGAAATACGGAGTATCCGTAATATAGCTAGTGACAATTTTGCTCCTAATCAAACAAAAAGCCTTATATATAGAGTTTGGATTTCAGTTAGATGATGTCCGCGGTTGGGTTTCGTTTAGGCTTATTTCATTACCATCCAATAAACATAGCCACTACAAATTAACTGCGTACTACCTCTATTATGTCATTACCTATTTATTTTTTGTGTAGTAGTTAAAGATAAAGCAATTCAAGTGGTATGTTTCGAAGAAAAATACAAGTAGAAGTAAGTAATATAATCAATTCAATGAAATTATATATATTTAATCAACATAGATATATGTACAATCCGCCAAAAAAAGAACCCTAATACATGTACAATGAAGTTATAATAATTATCAACACATCAGTGTTTGATTCGTGATTTGGCACTAATCATGGTATTGGTAATAAGGACAGTGGCTTCTTCATTACTGAGGTCTTGCGACCACTCAACTCTGTTTGATCTGTTGGCTCCCGGGCCGTAACATTTGTATTCACCATAGTATACCGAACTGTTTCAATAAACATACCATCAAATTAACATTAATACCATAATAACCTGATAATATATACGAGTGTCATATATTATATAACATACGGAGTAATTGATAATGAATAATACGCACCTATGTGTGGAGGGTTTGCCCCAATCATCCCATCCATGAGGGTTTACCACATTAGACATGTCACTGTTTACGTAAACAACTCTTGAGTAAGGTCCCCATGGTCTTCCCAATGTGCACCCTTTTATGCCCGTAATTCTACAATCCACAAAATAAAACCCTGTGTCTTCTTCCGCTTTCATCCTTCGTTGTGCAGTTATTGCTCCACCTATGTACGAAACAGAATGTATACGACATTTCTATAACGATACAACAAAAAAAATATAATCAATATTTGTATGACAATATAGAGAATTAAATCAATCAACACTAAAGTTGTATAGCATGTATAGTGTTACATACTTGGAAAAGAGAAGCTGCATTCCCACAAATAAAATCAGTTCCTCCTTCAATATAGCAGTTACTATAAAAATGGCTTCCTTGTTCATCCAAAAGCGTATCTTGATAAGAAATAAATTTACATGCTGAAAATTCTGCCCTTTTGCTCGAAACCCTCAAGGCAACTGCTTTTTCCCCCGGTCCATATGTATTTTGTAAGAAATAATCGAAGTCCAATATTAATTTCAAACTCACATATATACTATCACATGGTATAAATAGTATGTGTGACTATTAATTTCGAGCAAAAATAAAATAAAATACCTGAATAGTGAGATATCGAGCCATAAAATCAGAAGCAAAGACGGAGAGAGTAGGAGATGTGTATATATCACCACTATCATCCCATGTGATTGTTGTATTTTCGGCATCTTTTCCGCTAAGCATTATAAAAAGCTTATCTTCGGGTACGGTAACTTTCTCCTTGTACGTTCCCGGTTTGACTAGGATAAGTGTGGTGTCTACGTTGTTAGAAGGAACTGCATCAATCGCGCCTTGAATTGTTTCTTAATCGCCTTCGCCTGACTGATCCACGGTTATTAGTCGTTTCCACGTTAACTTCTCCTCCGACAAGCGACGAGCATTAGAATTGGTGATGAAGAGGCATGAAAATGTAACAGCAAAGAAGATGATCTTAGGAAAATTATAACTTTGAGTTGCCATTTTTGTTTGAATTATTGGGTGGTTTATTTGGTTGGAAATTGTGAAAGATATAATTTGGAAAACGATGAAATGAAGAACATAATATAAGATTTCGGAATATGATTAGTGTATATATAGAGAGATTAATACTTAATATGACAAGTTCAAGTAACACAAATGATTGGGGGACGTCATGTACGTTTACACGGCTAATTTTTTGCTTTTCACATTTAAAGAATATAATTCATTCAAGTTTTTCAAAAAAAAAAAAAATAATTCACAGAAGTTGACCAATTTAATTATACAATTACGTATTTACGTTACTATTTGCATGCAATATTAAGATATCGGCGCCCGATCGGATATTTTTTAGAATAGAGAATTTTGGTCATTCTTTTACCTTCATTGAAAATTATCATATCACCTATAACCGAGCGAAGTAATATTTGCATTTTCTTATAAATTTCTATAATCTTTTATAATAGTTGGATCATTTTTACGGTCACACTCTTTTTATTTCACATTATTAGAAAGTCATTTGTAAACAACAACAACAAAACTTTAGTCCTAAAATGATTTGAAGTCAGCTAACATAAATTAATAATATAAGGAATTGTCCGACATATATGTAACTATTATTAATATGTGACCATTTTAGGTGGAAGAAATGAGGAACTTTTATTTATTTATTTTTGACGGGAAGAAATGAGGAAAATGTATATATATAAAGTATAGTACA